TTTCACCTACCTCCCTTGTTACACACAGAATGCACCTCCTCTTCCAAACATTCTTGAGACTTAGGGAAATTCTTCCAACATGGAAGATCAACCTAACACCATAGGGAGAGGCAATAATCCAGATTTCTTAGAACCATGACAGAATTCTGAAACTTACGTGCTTAAAAAAAGCGGGGGCGGGGGGGCGGAATTCCATATTACTAGCTGTTTATACCTCACTGACACCACACATAGAAAAGTGAAAAGTTTAGTCACATAACAGGGATGCTTTTGCTTCATTATTTCACCCAAATAATCAGCTTGCTTTTTTATTCCATATTAATTGATTTATTGTGTCTGTACTCTGTCAGTTAAGTCTGCCTCCTTTAGGGATAGGCAGGTTTCAAAGTCTGTAGTTGGGAAGATTTCTGTTTTATGATTTTTCTCTTCCAAGTTGTCCCATTTCCATTAAAGCCTTGGCTGCTTTTCTGTTCCGAAAAAACTAATTGCTATCAGGTTGACTCTGGTGACCTCATGTGTGTCAGAGTAGAAGTGTGCTCCACAGAGTTTTCAATGGCTGATATGTTAGAAATAGATCTCCAGGCCTTTCTTCCTAGGCCCATCTGGGTAGACTCAAACCTCTAACCATTCGTTTAGCAGCCAACTGTGTTAACCATTTGTACCACCCAGGGATGCCAGGTCACCCTTATATAGGTCTTCAACAGACTTCCAGCCTACCTGATACCATTGGCAGGAAGCAAAAACTCATCTTGATTTAGTTCATCTTGAACTTTTTCCTCTACTTTTTTGAATGTGCCTGCTAGGTGTCCTGAATAAATATTCAGGGACAAGGACTGATGTGGACCGAGAGTTCGTTATAATGTTCACTCTGGTGGATGAGAACCAAAGCTGGTACCTCAATGAAAATATCAGACATTTCTGCACTGACCCTGATTCAGTTGACAAAGAAGATGCTGTTTTCCAGAGAAGTAACAAAATGCATGGTAAGTGTCTTCCACATTTCAACAATACATACCTAGTACCTTTTTGTGTACCTGGTACTACAGGGATGCAAAAAACACAGAAATATTGAACCTAGTTTTCCAAGGTTTACAACTTAGTGACAAGGACAGTTAGAAAATGGTATAAGATGTGACACATGCTGAAGCCTAAAACAATATGAGAAGGGACAAAGCAATAGGTAAGTGTTAAATGGGGTATGAAATATGGACAAAATTGTGGTATAGAAAATGGAGGGATTAATTTTATAATCAGGAAAGAATCAGGATGTGCAGTGAGCCCAGAGGATGGGTGGGTTTAGATTGGTAGAAAGGAGAAAAGAGAACCAGATTATCACCATATAATAATCTGTGTTTTAAACTGCCTCCTCTGCCATGAGACTAGAACTGGGTGATGCCTAGCTACTATTACTGAATGTTTTGATCAAAGATTCTATAGAAGAATCCTGATCAAAAGGGGGAGAAATGTGGAACAGATTTTCAAATTCTCAATGGAATTCAGACTTTCAGGAGGCATTGAGGCTGGATGAACCCCCCAAAACTACTGCTCTGAGATAATCTCTAAACTTTAAACCTTAAACCAAAACTATCTCCTGCAGTCTTCTTTGAACCAAAAAAAAAAAGCTTATTTTAAAGTAAAGTACTTCTGCTTTGAGCATTGTGCTCTTTTAAAGAATTATCTGTGTGAGATTAAATTGACAATGGCAACTTGAAAGGTTGGATAGGAAGCTTAGGGGGCAGTGAGTTTAAGATAATGGTGGTGAAATAATGTGAAAAAAGTGAGTACACCTTGAATAACATAACCAATGTCACTGAATTGTACATGTAGAAATTTTTGAAATGGTATATGTTTGTCTGTACATACTTCGACCAAAATTTAAAAAAATTATTTTTAACTTCTGTGTTTTGCAACCTCTTACTTTATCTAGTAATCATTTTTCTGAGTGGCTGCTGAATGTCAAGAGTTATGCTACAAATGGGGTTTAAATATATACTTATGGATGTGTTAGGTTTCTCAGGCATCCTTTAAATCAACAAAGACCCTGGTATTCAACCAAGTAGTCGATTCCCATAGCTACCCTATTAGCTAAGACAGAACACTTACCCATCCCAGTTTTGGGGAGCAGTGGCTTAATGAAGAATTTTATGGTGTAGAGATTATTTAGTGGCCTTGTTCCA